CAATGTTTGTCACCTGAAAAAGATTTGGAGCTTTGATCAGGTTCTTGGGTTTTGTTTTTGTTTTAGTTTGCTTGGTTTTGGTTGTGGTTTATTGTTTGTTTGTTTTTGGGTTTTGTTATGTTTTGGTTTTGGTTTTGTTTATTTATTTTTGGGTTTTTTGTTATTTCTGACTCTAGGGACTTTATGCAAAAAGAAATGTGCTCAGGCTCTAACCTGGCCTTTTCATATTCATCCTTCTGCATGCCGTATAAAACAAGAAGATGCTTTAAAAGCAATATATTTTTTAGAAAAAATATTCTCACCTTGGAAGTCAGTGAAATATAATTGATGGCAGCTGTAAGAAAAAAGCACTGTATTTCACAGGACAAAATTCTTGTAAGGAATAATTTAAGCAAATATGGTCATAATGGATAAAGTTTTAGGATTTTACCAAATAGTTCCATTGTTGCTGAAGAAGACAATCTGACACAACATTAATTAATAATTTTTGCACATTGGGGTCAGCTAGCAGTCATGTTTTTTGTTTTATTGTTCCTAATAATTTTTCATTCTGTAACAAAACACCTCTTGTTGACATCCAAGTACAAAATAAATGTATTCATGTTACTTCCTATTACTAAATACCATCCCATTTTATTTCCCCCATCCCAAAATCATTAAACTCTGCCTGTTTAACTTTGAAACCCTTCCTGCATGGATAGTTCCTCACAGTTTTGTGCCACTACACAGTTTAGTTATAAAAACTCCAGTTGGGATGCTGGACTCTAAATGAAAAAGGAAAATTATGCCCTTTGCAGTTAAAGTCCTTGTGAATTTTTTTTTTTTATGTCCTCAGACACTCTCTCTTTTCAACACACTCAGTTGCCAGCCCTACTTCAGTTTCTTCTTTAGTCTGCAATTCTTTTAGTAACAGTTCTTTTACTCATCTCTGCTTCAACAAGTAATTACCCAGGTGGTTTGTAAGTGTCTTAGAAGTCTAAATTTCTCATAAAGCATAACTGGCTCCATTGTCTGCTATCATTGAGGTTATTAGATCAAAACCTTGGGAATTAGAATTGGATTCATATCTCCCCAAGTAGAAACTCTTTCACTATTCTGCCTCAAAGAGTTTTGACAGAAAACTTTAAGGTTTGTATTAGATTTACTCCACTCATTCATGTATAAGGTATATCATCATATTTGCCTGGCTGTGTTCTAAATATATTTCAAACCTAACTGGTATTTCAATACTTCTCTTTTTCTTTTTTTCTCCTGCCTTCTACCAGGAAAAAAAAATATATTAATATACCTTTCCAGCCCCAAAGAAATATCAGGGGACAGAGGTGGGGAACTGGTCTTACTCCAGCCAGTAATTTGCCTCCACATTTATGGTTGTGGCTTTTATTAGTGCTGCAGAAAATAGAGCAAAGAAGGAGAAAATGGGTTGCACCCCCTTCTGCTCTGATAAGTCCCGGAAGTGGACACTTTTGTAAAATAAAAATTAGATAAATGCATGTATATCATTGCAAAAAAAAAAAAAAAAGTGTGAAGTGCAGCAAAATGTCACTTTTAACAAACATGTATAACTGGGTATGTGTTTGAGCAAAATCGCTGAGAAATTCCCCAGATATATGTGCTGAAAATAGGCCTGTCTCTGTTTTCTGTTGTCATCATTGTTTTTCTTTTGTTGGTTTTGTATTTTTTTCTGTTAATTTCTAATTTAAACAAAATTCCTGGTTGACCACAGGATCAGTCTTCATTCCAGTGTCAGGCAGGCACTACCATGTGGAAACTCTCCTGCTACCAAAGCGGATTTCTAAGAGTGGAGTTTCAAATTGAAAATAATACCAGGCTGAGCTCTGTAAGAAACAAACTTATTGTAGGACTAGAAGCTGCCCTAAAAGTTTTGCAGATATAGGATTCTTGCTGAATTTTTCATTCCAGTAAGTGAGTGCTATATAGCAATACACCCTTTACTTCTAAAGAAGAGAATTCCTGACATTTGGGGTTGGGCTAGACAGTCTTTATGTTAAAATAAAATGTTATTTTAACATTCATTTCCAATTAAAATAATCAAGATTTTTCAAATTTCAAATTTTGAATTCTTCACTGCACTGGGTGATTTTGAAAACTCTTAGGGAAAAAAAAAAAAGATAGAAGGAAATTCCATTTTTTTTAGAGTCACATAGTGTGAGGAATAATGGTTTGAAAGGAAAGAAAAGGTATTTTCCTCATTTTAAAAAATAAAATTGACTATCAAATGTGCAATTTATGTGTTACTCAACTCATGTTAAGGAAATTTCTTTGATATTTTGTTTTACTTTCGTTTTTTTCATTGCTAGTTTAAAGTTTAGGATTGGCAAGGCAACTTAGCACTACACACAGGACCTGAGTGCTAATCTTAAAACACTGAATGCTCTTTTAGCATATTTTCCATCAGCCAGAAAAATATATATAATGTCCAGTCCCTTCTGCTCTAGCAGAAAAGTTGTTTGTTGATTAATACCCCATTAATATCAGATGGAATAAAGGCTGCAGACCCTGTTCTCTGGAGGAGTTTGTACAGCTGATGTTCCCCAAAATGCTGGACACTGGGAGATAAGGAGGAGAATGAAGTTTTCCTTCATCACTTTCATCGACCAGGAATTTTAGTTCAGGGGTAATCATGCCCTACAACCCTTACACAGAATTCTTCATCTCAACTTATCAATCAAGTTGCAGAAATTTCCCCTGAACCGAAGAAAACTTCTAAATTATAGGAAGGGATGGTGAAATCTCCAAATGGATTTCAGTTATTGGGGATTATGGAGAGGAAAAAAATTAATGTTCTGAAAGCATACTATTTATTAAAAAAAAAATTTAAAAGCGGTTTAGCAAAAAATTTAAAATTTCAATAAGAATGACTAGATTATAAGCAATTCTTGAGGCATTTGAGTTCAGAAAGCAGCCACTTCCACATAGGCTATTCTGATTTTCTTGTCACACTTAATGAGTGCCCCTCAGATTTGATAACTCTGGGAGGAAAATTCAGCTCTGTGAGGCCAAGGAGAGCCTGCCCAGCTGCCTTCCACCACACCTCCTTTGGCAATTTGATCTGCAGTGGCACAAAATCCTGTCCTTTATCTTAATACTTCCCATTCCTCTAACATGGATCAGCATCTGGAGTGTTGGATAGAGTCTAGGAGATTTGGGGTTTGAACATTGCACGTAGGAAAGGAAACAGGATGTGCCTGACCCAGGGGTGGTGGGCTGCTCTCACCTCTCCCCTGCTCAGCAAAAAGATGATGACTGTTTTTGCTGACATTTGGGAAAGGGGAGGATCTTATTCTCCGCTCTAAAAGTAAAAGAACACTCAAGAAAAGTTTCAAGCTCTCCCATCTCAAACAGGAAGAATGACTCCAGCTTCGAATCGGGTTTTAAATTATTAATTTCTTCTGCAATTTTTTTTTTTTTTTTTTTTTTTTTTTTTTTTTGTGTTTTTTTTTTTTTTTTTTTTTTTTTTTTTTTTACTGTCTTGGGCAGTTCTATGTTGCAGCCTGGGTTTCATGATATCCACTTTGAAGCATCTAACTCCTCTGTGTTTTGTGGGGGAAAAACTCCTAAATCCTTACCCTGAAATTCCCTTGAGGGACCTGATTATCAATGAGTTTGCTCGACATCGCATGTTGTGATAGGATCAGGGAGCTCAGGCAGGACCTCCAAAATCCTGTGCTAGCATTTTACCCACTCTGTCTCATGCCAGAGAAGTTTTATTCTGGCTCGTTCACAGCAGAAGTTTTATTCACTTCGACCACAACCACAGTAATGAAAACAGCACAGAAAACGAACTGACGTGCATGTGGGGGATGATCAGAGGCTCTCCCTTGACTTTTGTGATGTGCAGAGCACCAGCAGAGCCCCAAAACCACCAGGACATATTTAATGGTGCACTTCCAGGAGTCTTGTTGCTGCAGCTTTCCCTTTTTTGTGTAAGGGATGAGTTAGGGGAGAGCAGGTGAGTGAGCAGCAGCCCTGCAAAGCTGGCATGATTCATCTGCCCTGCCAGCACATCCTTTCACCTCCCTACATCTCTCTTAAACATGCAGAAGGGAGGTGATAACCAGATTCTTTGTGCACAGACAGATAGTTAAATCTCGTGTCTTGCTGGTGTCTTTTGCATGTATAAACTTGCATCTCTCTCATCACCTGATGTGTAAATTCCATACACTGGAGGAGGAGGAAGCATCCTGACCTTCCACTGCTACTTCCTACTGCACAACCTCATTCTTCCTAGAGGTAATTTTTCTCCCTCACGCTGTGAAAAAAGAAACTAACCATGTAATCTTTCAGAACAGTGCAGCAGGAATGTTTTACTGTAATGGAACGAAGCTTCCATTTATCACAGAGTTCTGACTGCAGGTTTTTCTGTGGCATGGAGTGTGTTGGGTCTGTACACTGACATGAGTAACTGAGCCCATGTGGACTTTGATTTCCCACCTGAGAATCAGGGTTTGCAGCTTTTAAACAAATGAGAATTGGTGTAGATTGAAAAATATTTCCTGATATCATAAAATACTGGAATATTTAAGGTTCAAAGTTGAACCATTCCCACAGCACTGCCAAATCCACCACTCAGCTACTTCTCCAAGAACCACATATAGAGATCTCCTAAATATCTCCAGAGTTGGTGAATCAGCCACTTCCTTGGCAGCCAACACCTGACCACCCTTTCAGTGAAGAAATTTTCCTTGTTATCCAACCCAGACCTCGCCTGGCACAACTTGAAGTAATTTTCTGTTGTCCTGCCCCTGTGGAAAGCCACAACTCCCCCCTGAGCTTCTTTTTCTCCAGGCTGAGCCCTCCCAGCTCCCTCAGCTGCTCCTCATAAGATTTGTGGTCCAGTATGGGTTTTTGTCCATATTCTTTTCACCTTTCCTTCCCAAATCAGGTGAACTCTCTCCTCTCCAATTTCAGTCCTCTAAATTACAAGGAATGACATTCTTATAGGTGCTTTTGGAGAGCTGGAACTCTAAAACTGAATTGCAGTGCCTTTATTTTTTCCATAACTGCAGTTCTTGTCCCTTTCTTGTTTCAGTGTTGATATATAAAATCATGATATTTGCTGTCATTTGTAGGAGCTGTGTAAGTAGTTACAACAGATGTTTTTTTCTTTCCATCAGAAAGTTGCCACTGGAATACAGAACAATAAATTCAACTTGTAATTAAATTTTGCTGCAAAGAAAATATAAAACAATATTAATAAAAAACCAGAAATAAAACCCCCACAAACTTATTTTACATATACACTTCCACGTGATAAGATAGCACAAAAGACATGCTGTGATTACTAAAGCAGGCTTTAAAATAACTTGATAATAAACCCCAGATCTCACATATAACCAGGCCTAATTAATTCCCCTTGATTACTATCTGAAGTGGCAGAGCTTTGCTTCAGTGTTTTTTTTTAATAACAAAATGGGTATTTTCATTCACACAGTTCTGAAAGGTTGGGAGCCAGTGCCTTTTTCCAAAATGACATTTGCACCACAACTCTGTGTCTCAACTGAAATCTAATCTTGCTGCCTTGCTGTCTAAATAAACAGAACCAGAACTGATAAAGAAAGGCATTTCAGATTATTGCTTTAGAATCTGTGTACAACTTGAAATTCATTATAGAAAATGAAGTGCAATGACTCGTTTGAAGGTAAAAGGAATGTGCACATGCTCATATGAAGAGAAACCAGTGGCTCTAAAAAGATTCAGGTTGTGGCAAGCAACATGAAAAGATCCTTCCATTTTTCTGCTGGTATTAATATTTTTGCTAAAAGGTGAGGAATTTTTTTCCTGGTTTTGGATAACTGTTAACTGTCCCAAGCCTCTCAGTCTGGACCTTAAATCAGTGCAAGGAACAATGATTTATGAGTGTGTGATAATTTAGTAACAATATTCATTAGCCCCAAAAAATAACCTTTAAATTTTCTTACCAAAGTTATTTCAGGTGTGGATGTTCTAGGATTTGTGCTCACAGTTTGCATGAAATGGCTGTTGGTTTTCTCAGTGTTCAAGGAAGATAATTGACCCATCCCTGAAAGGTGTTCCTGCCCGTGGCAGGGGTGGCCCTGGGGGTTTTTAAAGTCACTTCCAAACCAAACCCATCTGGGAATTTGTCATTCTATGATTATGTGAATCTGTCATGATCAGATCCCATGACATTTGGGTTATTTGTAGCTTATGTGAAGCTCAGCTTCGTAACAACAATATTACTGTTTTGTAATCCACTTTTCAGAATAACCCCTAAATACTCTGAACTGACAGTAACTAAACACAAAATTCAGAATATTATTAATATTAATTCCAAATATTATTTATCTCCTATATACAGAAAAAGGAAACAATAGAAATAGAATAGAATAGATTTTTTTTTGATAGAAAATCAAGATGTAATTCTACATAATCTTGGCCTCAATTCTAGGCATTCCCTGCATATATATTTGTATATACCAAATTACAACATTTTTTTCAGCACCATGCTGAAAACACGAATAGACATCTAGAATTCCATTTGCAGTAGGATTTTGTTATTTTCCCCACTTGATTTCACCTGGAATCAAATTATTTTCAGAATTCCCCATAAACAGCACCGGAAAATGTCAGCTTGATTTTTCTCATAATAAAATCTTTCAATGCATGGAGCACCTAATGCTGTGATTGAAAAAAGCAGACAGAATGAATGGTATCAAGGACAAGGGGCAATGGGCACAAATGGAAAGATAAGAATTTCTATTTAACTATAAGACATTTACTTTGAGGATGTTCAAATCCAGAAGTTTGGAGAGTTTGGGGACTCTCCATTCTTGGAGATAAGAGTCATGGACAATAAGCTGTATCTGACTGATTTTTAACAGGGAAGTTTAATTCAACATCTGGAGATATCTCTCCTGACATCAATAATTGTGTGATTTGATGAATTAACCCATTGACTATAGCTATAATTTGAGTTGTGCAGGTTTTTTTTTCCAGTAAGGAAGATATCTATTCCTATTTTAAAGATTACATGATCTCACTTCATCCTTGGAAATTCTTATTTAATTAGTGTTGCTCTTGTTCACAAATTATATTTTATTTCCAACCCATGTTTCTGTAGCTTCAAAAAAAGTAATTGATATCACAACATCTTTCAAGACATGAATATATGATTACTTTTGATACCATCGCTGTCATACTAGGTTTTATGTAAAGAGAATGCACTCATATTTTAATAAATTTTGGATGGTCCCACCCATTTCTCCAACAAGAAGATGTAAAAAGCCTCTTCTGTCTTTGCACACAAAAATTTGAACATACATACAGAATAAAGTAATATATGACAAAATATTCAGCAGGAAAATGGGGCCGGTTGGTGCCCCAATCTCCACAGAATTTTGAATTTTCACCACTTTCAAGGTAATCTGTCTTGCATGTCAATCCCATTTCCCTGAAATACTTTAATACCTGGAATTACAAAAAATTTTACCAGTAAAATGAAGGCAGATACAGCCTTTCCAGAACTAATGTACATCACAATCATTAATTAAATACTTTTATTTTCAGTACAGTGGAAAGGCAGATAGACAATTCTCCTGAATCCGAACATCCCACTGACTCTATTTCTAATCTCTTCAGACAGAAATTATACAATGCTTTTTGAGACTATTAACTTACTTTTTTCTATACTACATTTTTACTTTATTTTTAAAGCTCATTATAAACTTAGAAATGTAATTGTCCAAATTCTATTACTACACAGAAAGGAGATACAAATTAAAGACTGCTCTTTTTAGGTCAGCACTATGTTTTAACCTCCAGAGAGATTCTAATGGTGCTTACAACACTCTTCATTTTTTTCAAATTAATGTAGAAATAGCAACCAGCTAGTAGAGGAAGAATTTAGAAAGCAACTCCAGGTGGGGCTTTCTTTTTAAGGAAAAAAGCCATCTTTAATTCCACAAACAACAGTTTAAAAATCCAGCAATAAGAATGAAACACTACAAAATGAAAAATAAAAAGACAAAGAAACCATACTAAAACAAACAAAAAGCCCCAACAAACCAAAACAACCAGCCAATGAACCAAACAAAAAAACCCAAAGCCCTTAGTTTTCTCTGATGTAGATAATTCAGCCCAGAAAAACTTCAACTCAGCTCAACTTCAGAACTACACGTTTGTACACAGCAGCTGATAAACTGGCACTGCTTCCCACATTATTTTATTTCCTTGTCTCATGTGATTTCTCATTAAATATTATTGTCCTCTTCTGGCACTTAGCTGTGATAACGTGAAAGCAATACAGATAAGAAATTCATTTGTTAAGGATGAGGGATTCTCCTAATTGGAAAGGAATATTCCAAAGAACAATGTTTTGTTGATGTGGGTTTAATATCTGACTGGTTTGATAAGGTAAATAAGACTCAGAAGAGTTTAGACTGCCAAAATGTAGGTTTCACAAAGGATGTGGTTGAATTCAGCTGAAGTTAATGAAACTCTACTTTTAATTTAAGAAAAGTAAAAGTCATTGCTCTTTAGCACATCAGATGTAATTGGCTGTAATCCACTCCAATAAGTATTGTCATGATATAAAGTATATTTGCCATCATGCATAATTCTCTTGGCCTGAAAAGTTTTCACAGTATTCTTGAACTATGCTGAACTATTATTAGCCAAATGGAATATGTAAAATTAAAGAAACAGAATTTTTATTTTTATTTAAATGTTTCTTGAGTTTTGACTCAAAAGTTTCCAAAAATCTGTAAAAAACTGTACATCAAAAGTGAAATTATCTGAGCTATGAACTATATATTTCTTCCTGTTTCCCCATCATTTCCCCACCATAACTGTAATGAATGAAAGAGGAAAAAAAAAAAAAAAAAAAGAAACATTAACTGATTTAAAAAAAAAAGGATCTGTTATGCTCTCCAAAATAAATTTTTTGTTTTACCACATAACTGACTGAAACATTTCTTTTCTGAAGCTTCCTCCTGTTAAATTTTTTTAAATGTCTTTCAGTCAATTTAATTTTCACAGCCTATTGCAGTGTAAAGAATACTTGTGGAACTCAGATTTGATAACATAGTATTTTAATTTTCCATCAACATAGAATTGTCACATATTCTTAGCCTTTAAATAGCTTTATATGCAAAATGACAGTTATTGATGGCTCAGATACAAAATTTTAAAGTTTAGCTCTATGTTTCTTTTTAAGCCTGACTTGTTCATTAGAAATAAGTTACAAATTTGCAATGCTAAATGATTGAAAAATGAAATTGCTTTCAAGCCCTTTTTTCCAATAGTCATTAAGAAATCACAGTATTCTAAGTACATTTTTTTCGCTCTAGCAGTGGAAGGAATTTTTTTTAAATGAGCTAGAAAATCTAAATATGTATTTGCAATAATATGTATTTTCAAAACAAACCAAGGTTTGCTAAAACAAGAAAACAGAAGACATAGATCTCCATGCATAAGTACCTGATTTTTAGATGAGCATTATTACCTGATAAGTGCAGAATTTGAAAACCAAATCTTTCCATCAGAATACACAAAATCTTCAGGCTATTGGTGAAAACAAGAGCGGGGAGAGGGAAACCACAAATTAGAAAATTCTGCAGTGAACAAGAATAGCGCATGAACAAAGAACAAGAAAAATTAATTTAACCTGTGCTGCTAATCAGGGTGAATGAACAGGCCAGGAGTGTGAGATACACAGCCTGGGGAGATAAAACCACCAAAATAAAACCTGGAGAAATAAAACTGCACCTGGGGAGGCTTTCCATGCCCTGCAAGACAGCAGTCCTTGCCACAGCATTTATCAGTGTGCTACAGCTTCGGATGCACGATGAAATTTTTGGTTTGATTCATTGGAATCACTGTGGAAACCCGTGAAAATGTCAAAATAAACACTTGTTCATCAGCACGGGGAGCAGAAACCACCTCTTGATAGGCTGCACCTTTCTGAATTGGTTGCTATGATGATTTAACCCCACGTTAATGGAAAAAGTCTTCTCAAGTGGACTGAAGGGACCTTTCTTGTCATATATCCAGACTTAGAAATTACCAAGGAGTTGTTTATTTTTTTTTTTTTTCAAGAAACAGTTTTCCTGTTGGCCTGATGCTTCATTCTATTTGACACAGTTTGAGGCAATATTTGAGGCAGTGGTGGCACACAGACCTTACATATTGAAGAAGGTAAGTTCTTGCAGAGGGGATAACAAAATATAATTTCAACACCTTCAAGACCTTCAGGAAAGCAGCAACATTATCCCTGAAATATTATTATATATAAGTAAACCTATATTTTGAAAAAAGTCCTTTTCATATCTATGACTGAAAAAGAAGAAAAAAGATAAAGGAAAGGTTTTGTTTGTTTGAACTTTTCAATTTTTAACCTAGATTATACTCATCTTTAGGGCTATAATGGATTGACCTTGGCTGGCCTTTGGGTGCCCAAAAAGCTGAAAAATGAGCTTGAAAACTGCTTCAGGCTGTGGCTGTACACAAGAACTAATTAAAAAGCTACTCTAATGCACTGCCAAAATTAAGAACCTTTTTTCCTCTCATTTTCTTTCTTTTACACTTAGTGACAGATATATCCAGAAGCCTATCTTTGCAAAAATTTAGCAGCAAAAACAGAATGTCGCTCCCCATCTTCAACAGCTGAGGCACTGAGGAGTGCTGCACGTTTCTTCTGGGCTCAGAGTGATGATTTGGAGTAGGTGGCTGTGCAAATGTTAGAAAAAAGATGAGTGGTTTGGGAAGCTTTTGGGTTTTTGAAGTGGTGGTTTGGGCACAGAGAAGAATTATGCTGTGTGATAATGAGCAGAACTCCATTAAATTGTTTCAGGCAAATTTATGAGCTTTGGAAAGATTTGATATCCTGAAACCCAAAGAGAGAGATACTGAAGTGTTGGGGGTTTTTGCTTTTGTTTTTTGGATTCTCCTGCATATTTTAATTGTACATGGCTCCCCAGAACAGTTCTGTCTGCACTGGTTATTGATGATTAGCAGGAGTTTTCCTCTCTTTTTCAAGAGATTCAACAGTGCTCTCAAGTGAGTTCTGAAAGGTAAATAGTCTTTATAGGACCAGGGATGGGAAGCAGGTTTCTATTCTCTTTGTGGGAAGAGCAATGACCACAGCTATGGTTCATCCATCTTAAATCACAAGATGACCCCAGCAGAGGGAAAAACTTACCACCTAAAAATTTTATTAGCTAAATTGTCTTTATTTTCTGTTAGACTAGTGAAGAAAGCTTGGAGGAGCAATCAAAACCATAAGGATGGTTATTAATATGTGGAGAACTGCTTGCATATTTAATGTTAAATTAAAAGTTTTATTCACTCTATATTTGTCTGAGTGCAAGTTGTGCTATTGGGTCAGCAGAAATCTGCCTGTTCTGCTGGCTTGCATTAGTGATATAAGGATTTTCATGCTCCTGGTGTCCTGTAAAGCTCAAAGTCCTTCATTTTCCTGCCTTGGCTCTAACGTGAGTTCCTGCTTTTTGCAGAAATGCAGCCCCACCACACCAGCCCACGAGAGGCTTCTGGTAGCAGCAGGGTTCAAGCAGGTCCCCTGAGGTTCACGAGTGCTCAGCAAGGGCAAAGCACTAGAAAATGAACAAGCTGATGTACTTTTAGAGGTCTCTGATGCCTCATTATGTCAAATGATGTCACTCTCACAGTTAATACTGGAAGAAGTTAACCAAAGTTAATTAACATGTGCTTTGGCAAGTCTGCTCAGTTTAATTATTCCGCTGCATTCTGTTAGGGCAGGCTATCCAGATAGTAATGCTGATAAAAATTCCTTGTAAAATTGCTGTCTTGGCTGAGGTCTCTGTACCATGAGTGATTGCTCTTGTGCCCTGGCTGTTGAGTGGTGCATTTTTTTATGAGTTACCATCAGACTCTGCTTCTAGAGATACAGCTGCCAAGGAAAATAGTGGCTTAAATAATGTTAGGATATGAAGAAAGGGATTGGATGGCTTTAAGATGCATTTCAACACAAACCATTCTGTGATTCTTTAATTCTCTGATCTTGATTCTTACAGCTGAAAGGAAAATAACCCCACCAATATTTCACGTCTTACAGGCAAACCAATTGGAAGAAAGTGATTTTTTTAATGGCACAGCACTCTGTTTAAAGTTTCAGGAGGTCCTTTGGGCCAACGTCCTACTCAGTTAGCATTTTTGCACTATTCAGAAGAGTCTCACTTTTGAGGAAAAAAAGGAGAGACTACATCTGGTATATCATATGTACACAGATGAGAGCAAGGGGGGCTAACATGGTTGTAAAAGTATGACCAAGCAAATCCCAGATGGTTTTGTTTGTTTCTGTCTGGGGTTTTTTGTTGGGTTTTTTTTTTTTTTTTTTTTNTTTTTTTCCTTTGGTTGGTTGGTTAGCTGGTTTTATTGTTTTGGGGTTTTTTTTTAATTTTTTTCTGGGTTTTGTTTGGTTTTGTTTTGTTTTGGTTTGGGTTTTTTTTGTTTGTTTGTGGTTTTTTTGTTTGTTTGTTTTTGGTTGTTTGGTTGTTTGTTTTGGTTTTGGGTTTTTTTCATGCCATAAGCTGAAATACATCTTTTGGGCATGGTTTCTTCACAAAGGTGGGAACTCGGACCAATTCAGCTTTTTGTCAGCCTTAGGGAAAAAAAAATAAATTTGCATTTCTTTTTTCCACTTGTAAACAGCCCACAGAGAATGTTTTCAACAAATTAAACCAAATTACATACAAGTATGATTCCACAGAAAAAGACCACAGAATAAAATATGGTTTTTATCTGTTTCTACTGGGTTACAGATTTTCTTGAGCTGAGTTTCTGATTTTGCTTTCACTGATGTGAATAAAAACCCTTGACATATTAGTTTTGCACCTGAAGACTCCTCAAGAACTACACTCCTCGTCAGGGCAGACAATCCTTGTGACACAGTCATGGACACCATGAAAATTGCTCTATTTAGACCAAAAAAGACTGCAAGATTTCTGAGGAAAAAAAAAAAAAAATGAACCATATAATAATAAACTTTACCTGGCTGAATTAACACTTCCAAACTCTGAGTCTCAGCAACTGAGGGTTTTGAGGGTGGATAAGTCTTGATTGAGGTCTTCAGCACTGATCAGTTTTCTAGTGGGAAACATTGATTTTTTTTTAACTAAAAAGATGGCTCGGCCATGTATTTCAGAATTTTCTCAGTCTCTCCTGATGTCCAAGCTGAAGTGATAAATTTTTTGACTTGCTGTTCCCCCTCCAACCAAAAAAAAAAAAAAAAAAATTTGCATATCTAGCAACATGCCTACATCAGTGAGTTTGCATGCAAAGTGGAGGACAGAATTGCCACATGGTGCTAAGACAAAACTGTTCTCTGTTTTACAACAGAATAATGCTAAGGGAGGAATAAAACCTTCTGCAGCTGCCATGTGACAACCCTCCACAGCTGAAAATCCTGCAAATTCGGGGGATGACCAAACCAATTGATTTAGATCAGGGCATAGATGGAAATGGAAGCATATTATCCACTTTGTGGAACTGATTTGGAAGATGATTTATGGTCTGTGGCCTTGAAGTCTAACCGAGCTTTCATGTCCAAAGAGTTTTCAGGGAAGTGGTCTCACACCTTGCACACCTCAGTGCTGAGGAGCAGAGTTTGCAGCTGCACACAGAACAGGTCACAGAAATGTCCTGGGTTAAACCCAGCCCTTCCTTCCCAGGCAAAATAAATATTCTTTCAGGGCCCTTCTGCAAGCGAAAATATATCTTCTTCCTGCTTTATAAAACTCTGTGAAATTCCCCACCAACCCTACCTGCAGCATCTGAAAAGGACTTTGGAGCATTTCAGCTCTTTCTCACTTACAATGCCCTCATCAACTGAGCTTGTACCTCAACAATTGAAATGAATTTTCCTTTTCTTCACATTCAGATACCTTTTTCCATCTGGCATCCACTGCAATCTTGTTTTCCTTGTTGCCCATTAACAAAACACATTAGGAAAACTTCTGGGTACCTTTAAGGAACAAGTATTGACTTACAAACTTCTATGGAAGAAAAAAATAGTTTCTTCCTGAGAAAATGATCTCCTCTGAGATGTCAGGCTGCTTTTACAATGAATTGATGGATAACCTTGTTCTGCTCTAACAATTACATTCTAAAAAGCCTCATTGATTAAAACATGATTCCTCTACTTTGGATTTGGGACTGCCACATGTCTCTTACCCAGTCTTTGCAACAGAGCCATTGAAAGTCAACATAAATACCCTTGTAAGCATGAGAAGAACATAGCTGTAAATTTCCTTTGGGTCAAAAAGATTAATTTGTTCTATTAATTAGCATTCAGGCCACTGAGATTTAAATACAACTTGTGGAATGCTAAGCAAAATAGTCTACAAGGATCTAATATCTACTTTGTTCTACTTGATTAAACACAACACGAGTGCCACTGGACCTCTTGGAACTACATAATATACTTTTATACCCAGATGTCCCAGTTTCTCCTTCATTTGCATTTACTCAGACTTTTGAACTGCAGTACTTGCTATCAAATCTCCCATGCAGAGAGAAGGTCTGAAAGAAATTAGCTTTCTTCAGCCCAGTTCTTTTTTTCCCCTTTTTCTTTCCTTTCTTCTTCCTTCTTTTCTAACCTTCCTGTATGGCCTAAACCTCCAATTAACATCAAGGAGAACTGATGAGCTGTAGACTGGTTTTATTTCTATCCAAATATATCTATATCAATATATGTATTTGTATACATATATTTGCATATATTTATATCTATAATGTACATATATATAAAGTATATATATATATATATAAAATGTGTATATATTTATAC